ACATTAGATTGTACACTCCTTGAGGGTTAGGGACTGATGTGAATGTACAATATATATATATATAGGGACCTTAGATTGTACGCCCCTCGGGGGCGGGGACTGATGTGAATGTACTATATATATGTAAAGCGCTGCGTAAATTGACGGGCGCTAATATAAGTACCTGAAAATAATAATAATAAAAAAATAATTTAGCAGGCTACGCAGCAAGCAAAAGGATGGGGTGAAAGACCAAAAATCTGGATCTTCTCCTTCTTCTGGCTGAGTGTACAGAAGCAAAAGGATCAAGATGACAAGGGGGGCAGCTATTATTAGGACAGTAGAATAATGGAGGCCCCCATGATCTCCAAACACAGATTTACCATTATAATAATAAAATGCCTACTTACCCGGAGGAAAGGCATTTTCGCTGCACCAGGTCCAGATACGAGTGGACCATATCATTGAAGACCTTGATCCCTCCAGTTGCTGCAGCAGGTCCAGGGCTGTAAACCGGGTTGCTGAGATTCTGGTACGCCATATCTGGAGTGATCCACTGAGACTACCAGAGAAAGTCAATGCCCTGATAAGACGAGGTATCAAAAGTGTCAAGTTTATGTTATGTGATCGCTGAAACAATGACCCTGACTGACATCGACTTCTTAAAATAAAAAAAAATAAGCTGTTCAACCAGTTCCTTAGTTTTCAGCTGTCTTTGCCTTTGAAGCCAAAGAGAGATTCACAGAGAGGTCCTACAGCTGACTATACTCTATGAAGGCAGGATTTTCCCATACCGGTGAAGCCTGGTGTGAAGATGAGATGTCACTGAGTCCAGGTTATAGGGATGCCTCATAAACTAGTGTTGGATCTTAATGGAATTTTCAGGGACCTTCGGAATTTCCAGGGACCTTCGTTGCAATCCAGAGCTGTTTTCTTCTAAGTAGCCTTTGTGTTGAAGGATATTTTATGCAAAATACAGTTCACTCTTGATGTTTTCAGCAGTAGGGGTAGGTGGGGTCTCCTTCCACAGGCTCAAGGATTTCCTGCAATGTGAAAAAAAAATGTACAATATTTAGCAATGCATACAATGCAGATCACAAGATTGTGTTACAGGGTCTAAAGACAGCAACAGGAGTCTACTCAAAAGACCATCTTCAACAAAGGAGGACAATGAGAGAGACCCTCCTCCACCCCCAACATTCCTTGTTCACAGCCAGAGACTTCCACATAAAACAATTAAAGAAGCTGCTATTAGTCATTAGCATTCCATTGGCATTGGAGGACAGATACCAATCTGGCTGGACTGTCCATTGGGCTTCAGCAGACTTGTCAAGGTGAGAAGCTGGAAAACCTTGTCTGATCCTTATCACTGTCCATTGGTTTTCCATAGCAGTCCTATGCAGGAGACCTAATTTTATTCAAACATGTAAATGTATCCCATCAGAACCCCAGGCTGTGATGACTATCACATTAACCTGATTTCATGATGATCCATTAGCCTGAGGAACCTTTCATCAGCCTAATGCAGTGGTGGGCAACCTTTTTTTTCAACTGAGCCAAATCTCACCAAAACCACGATTGAAATTTATTTTGAAAGCCACATTTTTAAAACTGAAAATACATCCCCCATATAGTAATTCATCCCCCATAGTAATTCATCCCCCATAGTAATTCATCCCCCATATAGTAATTCATCCCCCATCGTAATTCATCCCCCCATATAGTAATTCATCCCCCATAGTAATTCATCCCCCATAGTAATTCATCCCCCATAGTAATTCATCCCCCATATAGTAATTCATCCCCCATAGTAATTCATCCCCATATAGTAATTCATCCCCCATAGTAATTCATCCCCCATATAGTAATTCATCCTCCATATAGTAATTCATCCCCCATATAGTAATTCATCCCCCATAGTAATTCATCCCCCATAGTAATTCATCCCCCATATAGTAATTCATCCCCCATAGTAATTCATCCCCCATAGTAATTCATCCCCCATAGTAATTCATCCCCCATATAGTAATTCATCCCCCATAGTAATTCATCCCCCATATAGTAATTCATCCCCCATAGTAATTCATCCCCCATATAGTAATTCATCCCCCATAGTAATTCATCCCCCATATAGTAATTCATCCCCCATAGTAATTCATCCCCCATAGTAATTCATCCCCCATATAGTAATTCATCCCCCATAGTAATTCATCCCCCATATAGTAATTCATCCCCCATAGTAATTCATCCCCCATATAGTAATTCATCCCTCATAGTAATTTATCCCCCAAAGTAATTAATCCCCCATATAGTAATTCATCCCCCATATAGTAATTCATCCCCCATAGTAATTCATCCCCCATATAGTAATTCATCCCCCCTATAGTAATTCATCCCCCATAGTAATTCATCATCCCCCCTATAGTAATTCATCCCCCATAGTAATTCATCCCCCATATAGTAATTCATCCCCCATAGTAATTCATCCCCCATATAGTAATTCATCCCCCATAGTAATTCATCCCCCATAGTAATTAATCCCCCATATAGTAATTCATCCCCCATAGTAATTCATCCCCCATATAGTAATTCATCCCCCATAGTAATTCATCCCCCATATAGTAATTCATCCCCCATAGTAATTCATCCCCCATATAGTAATTCATCCCCCATATAGTAATTCATCCCCCATAGTAATTCATCCCCCATATAGTAATTCATCCCCCCTATAGTAATTCATCCCCCATATAGTAATTCATCCCCCATATTGTGTCAATTCACTTACCTTTGCTCCGCGCGTTCCTTAGCCGTGTTCCCGCGCCGTTCCGGTCTTCAGGGTGGACTGTGAGAGGAGAGGAGTTCGTCACGCTGCCCCGCCTACATCCTGACAGCCAATGTTTGCCACGCTCCACGGGCCGGATTAAAAGGTCCGCCGGGCCGTAGTTTGCCCATTGCTGGGCTAGCTGCAGAGTCCTGACTTTTGGGGGGGCCGCCCGAGAGGAGGGAGGGGAGCGGGCGCCCGGCACACAGAAGAGCCGCATTAAAGTGTGTAAAGAGCCGCATGTGGCTCGTGAGCCGCGGCTTGCCGACTACTGGCCTAATGCAATGACAATCACATTGGCCCGAGGAGCCCTTTTATGGAGTTTTGGAGGATGCATTCTTCGGGTTAACAGGAGGATGGTCACATCAACCTGAAGAAGGAGTTGGCCTTTTGTCTAAGATCAAGTGTAGTATCTGTTCTTATCAGTTTTTTCAGATCCTGCCACACTGCCACCATCCGGCCGTTTATATACAACGGCCGGACAGGAGGTGGTTAACCACTTCCCGACCGGCCGTTGCATATAAAACGGCCGGACGGTGGCAGTGCAGGGTCGGGTGGCCGTTTATAAACGGCCTCCCCGCACCCTGCTTGTGCGCGCTCCTCCGGACACAGTGAAACACCGATCGTCGGACGGGACCTCTGTACGAGGGTCCCGATCATGTGATCACTGATTGGCCAATCAGTGATCACATGCAAAGTAGTAAGCAAGATGTCACTTGTGTCATCATTGCTTACTACGTGTGAAATCTGTGGATGATCGCAGAGGTCACATGGTACAGGGCTATTCACAACAGGCTTGTACCATGTGACAAGCTGTGACCAATCACAGCTCACTCAGTACTTCTCAATGAGTGCAAGAATGCACACAGAGAGAAAGAGAAATGATTGCTTTTACATCCTATATGGGTGTAAAAGCAATCAGTGTAAAAAAAAAAAATCTTCATCACCCCCCACAAGTAGTACAGTGTCACCATGGTGACACTGTACTGCTAAGGTGACAGTATGTAAAAAAAAAATAAAAAAATAAAAAATAATAATATAAAAAAAAAAAAATAAAAATGTAAAAAAAAATGTTTAAAAATTATAATTTTTGGTTATAAACTAATTTGGATTTTTTTTTTTTTTACTAAAAAGATAACGGAATAAATTTTGGCAAAGATTCATGATGAAATATTATTTATTTGCAAAATTTTATAAAAATAACACTTTTTTTCAAAATTTTTGGACTTTTTCATTTACATAGCAAAAAAAAATAAAAATCCCAGCGATGAATAAATACAACCAAAATAAAGCTTTATCTGTCTCAAAAAAATGGTAAAAATTCATTTGGGTGCAGTGTTGCATGACCGCGCAATTGTCATTCAAAGTGTGATAGCGCTGAAAACTGGAAATTGGCCTGGACAGGAAGGGGGTAAAAGTGTCCGGACTGGAAGGGGGGGAAAGTGTCCGGACTGGAAGGGGGGGAAAGTGTCCGGACTGGAAGGGGGTGAAAGTGTCTGGACTGGAAGGGGGGAAGTGTCCGGACTGGAAGGGGGGGAAAGTGTCCGGACTGGAAGGGGTGAAAGTGTCCGGACTGGAAGGGGGTGAAAGTGTCCGGACTGGAAGGGGGGAAAGTGTCCGGACTGGAAGGGGGTGAAAGTGTCCGGACTGGAAGGGGGGGGGAAAGTGTCCGGACTGGAAGGGGGGGAAAGTGTCCGGACTGGAAGGGGGGGAAAGTGTCCGGACTGGAAGGGGGTGAAAGTGTCCGGACTGGAAGGGGGGGAAAGTGTCCGGACTGGAAGTGGTTAAATTTCACCTATAGAAAAGAATTTTCATGGCCGGGAATCTTCTTTCCTTTCCAGGCCACAGCTCATGCTCATTTCTTTTCCCAGTTTTATTTCTTGCACGATTCTCTCATCATTGATTAGAAATTTGTTCATTTTAAAAAAAAAATCCAAAATGCATGATCACTCAAATTCGATGGCCACACGAGAATGTGGAGGGGGGGGCACTAATGGTGCAAAATTCAGCGAAAATTCTTAGTTATAATTTTCGAAAGAAAATTATTTCACAATTTGACCCATGTATGGCCTACATTGATCTATAGGGAATATCTTAAAGAGTAACTCCACTTTTGTTAAGAAAAAAACATTCCTCCCCGGGTGATCGATGTACATTGCAGGGATTTTAACAAACTTTGTTGCAGATTCCTACCTTTTGTCATTCTGGAGAAATAACTATTTGATTGTCTATGTCCATGTGCAGAATGAAACTGTATGGGAGTGATTATATAGTTATCAATCAGCTGCGGCAGCTGCAGGCCTCTAATGAGGAAAGTGTCAGGGTCTGCATCGCTTTAGATGTGTTTTCCCTTTGCTGCAGAGGATGCCAAAAATCTGACTTGAATGCATGAAAGTAAAAAATCTTGAGCCTTTACAACCACTTTAAAAAAACAACCAGGTGTGCATATGTGACACTAAAGCCCAGCGACGGACTGACCATTCGGGCACCCGGGCACTGCCCGAGGGTCCGGGGTCAGTAGGGGGCCCCATGAGCTGCTCCTGGTACCTTTCATAGGCATTTTTGGGTGTGGTTTAAGTGTGGGGCAAGGACACAGGGGCCCCATGTTTTCCTATTGCCTAGGGGCCCCATGAGTTGTCAGTCCCGCCGCTGCTAAAGCCTCATACACGCTTCTAGTTTCAACCCAGCGGGCTGAACGAAAACAAATCTGACAGCTCAGTAGGATTAGCACAGCGATCTCCCCTGCTGTGCTGTTGTGTTTCTGACAGAGGGGACGACCCCCCGCCAGAACACTTAGGTCAGCACGCTAAGCCATTGGCTGAGAGCGCTGATGGGAAGCCGATCGGCAAACCTTTTTTTGGTCATGCCCCTTTGACAGAAGAAACTCATGGGGCCCCTAGGGCAATAGGGCTTCTGTCGGAAAAAGCCTGGTACCCTACACCCTGGGCCGAAAGTCGGCAAACCTTGGTCATTGCCCCTTTGACAGAAGCTGGCTTCTGCCGGATTGCCTGCCCTACACATGGGCCAAAAGTCGGCTGGTTTCTATTGAACAGATCGATCCCGCCAGACATGCATACTAGGCCCAACACTGTTGATATCAGCCTACTCTATCAGCACAATAGCAATTAAATGGCCAAACCCTGCCTAGCAGATTGACTCCCACTCCTCGACATTACAGGCCTGCTGGATGTGCAGGTACAAATGGTCAGATAGTTCCATGAATATGGATGCTCAGACTAAACTACTATGATTCATGGTAAAGACGCAGAAGAAGGTGTCACTGCGACTGGCAGAATCCACCCTGGACACTCAATCCTTCCACTCCAATATAGGCTCAACGGCCACGTTATTAGGTCCACCTTGCTAGTACCGGGTTGGATCCCCTTTTACCTTCAGAAATGCCTTCAACCTTCAGGGCATAGATTCAACAAAGTGTCGGAAATGTTCCACAAAGATTTTGGTCCATATTGACATGAGTTACTCTTCTGGCATGGTGATCTCTCTTTCCACATCTCTTCCGGCATGGTGATCTCTCTTCCACACCTCTTCCAGCATGGTGATCTCTCTTCCACATCTCTTCGGCATGGTGATCTCTCTTCCACACCTCTTCCAGCATGGTGATCTCTCTTCCACAGCTCTTCCGGCATGGTGATCTCTCTTCCACATCTCTTCCGGCATGGTGATCTCTCTTCCACATCTCTTCCGGCATGGTGATCTCTCTTCCACATCTCTTCCGGCATGGTGATCTCTCTTCCATCTCTCTCCGCCATGGTGATCTCTCTTCCACATCTCTTCCGGCTTGGTGATCTCTCTTCCACATTTCTTCCCAGCATGGTGATCTCTCTTCCACATCTCTTCCGGCATGGTGATCTCTCTTCCACAGCCATCTCATCCACATCTCTTCGGCATGGTGATCTCTCTTCCACTCTTCCGGCATGGTGATCTCTCTTCCACATCTCTTCCGGCATGGTGATCTCTCTTCCACATCTCTTCCGGCATGGTGATCTCTCTTTCACATCTCTTCGGCATGGTGATCTCTCTTCCACACTCTTCCGGCATGGTGATCTCTCTTCCACATCTCTTCCGGCATGGTGATCTCTCTTCCACATCTCTTCCGGCATGGTGATCTCTCTTCCACATCTCTTCCGGCATGGTGATCTCTCTTCCACATCTCTTCCGGCATGGTGATCTCTCTTTCTCTCATCTGGAACCAGTCTGCCCATTCTCCTCTGACATAAACAAGGCATTTTCTCTCACACAACTGCCGCTCACTGGATATTTTTCTTTTTTTTTGGACCATTCTCTGTAAACCCCAGAGATGGTTGTGTGTGCAAATCTCAGTAGATCAGCAGTTTTGAATATACTCAAACCAGCACGTCTGGCACCAACAACCATGCCTTGTTCAAAGTCTCCTATATCCCTTTTCTTCCCCATTCTGATGCTCGGTTTGAACTTCAGCAAGTTGTCTTCACCATGTCTAGATGCCTAAATGCAATGAGTTTCTGCCATGTGATTGGTGATTAGCAATTTATGTTACCAAGCAATTGAACAGATAGACCTAATAAAGTGGCCGGTGAGTGCATATATATATATACAACACACCACACACACCCAACAATTTCCTGAGACTAGTGTTCTGCAAGTGAGAGCCACATAGTAATGAGATCTGACCAGGGCTTTTTTTTTTCTCAAAAAATAGGTGCAGGAACTCCCCATCTTCTGAATCACTCCTTGTCTCCACCCCCTACCCACCTCCGAGCACCATCCCTTGGTTCCTACCCACCTCCCAGTACAGCTCCCTATAGAGAATACATAGCCAAGTGTCATTGGTGGTCCTAAGTAATTTGTATAAAATCTTTTTAAGATAACAATAAAAGCAGTAAAATATTGTAGATCCCTTGTGCCCAACAGCATTTAACCCCCCCCCCCACCAGCAACGATAGATTCCCTCAGCAGCAATGGACCCCAGCAACAAAATACCACCCCAGAAACAACAGATCCCTAACAGCAACAACAAATCTCCTAGAAGCCAGCATCAATAGACTCTCCAGAAGACAGCAAAAATAAACCCCTCCCTCAAAAGTAGATCCCTTCCAGCAACAATATATCCCCCACCAGCAACAATAGACCACCATGCAAAATAGATCCCCTCCAGTGACAATAGATCCCTCAGCAGTCAGCATCAAGAGACCTCCTGGCACACCTTGCCATTACATACATATATTCAGTGCTGGAGGCGCCATAACTGCGTTCCCCCTGTGTTCCCACCATGCCGGAAGAGATGTGGAAGAGAGATCACTATGCTGGAAGAAGAGAGATCACCATGCCGGAAGAGATGTGGAAGAGAGATCACCATGCTGGAAGAGAGATCACCATGCCGGAAGAGATGTGGAAGAGAGATCACCATGCCGGAAGAGATGTGAAGAGAGATCACCATGCCGGAAGAGATGTGAAAGAGAGATCACCATGCTGGAAGAGATGAGGAAGAGAGATCACCATGCCGGAAGAGATGTGGAAGAGAGATCACCATGCCGGAAGATGTGGAATGGAAGAGAGATCACCATGCCGGAAGAGATGTGGAAGAGAGATCACCATGCCGGAAGAGATGTGGAAGAGAGATCACCATGCCGGAAGAGATGTGGAAGAGAGATCACCATGCCGGAAGAGATGTGGAAGAGAGAGATCACCATGCCGGAAAGAGAGAGATCACCATGAGGAAGAGGGATCACCATGCTGGAAGAGAGATCACCATGCCGGAAGAGATGTGGAAGAGAGATCACCATGCCGGAAGAGATGTGGAAGAGAGATCACCATGCCGGAAGAGATGTGGAAGAGAGATCACCATGCCGGAAGAGATGAGAGAGAGATCACCATGCCGGAAGAGATGTGGAAGAGAGATCACCATGCCGGAAGAGATGTGAAGAGAGATCACCATGCCGGAAGAGGTGTGGAAGAGAGATCACCATGCCGGAAGAGATGTGGAAGAGAGATCACCATGAAGAGATCACCATGCCGGAAGAGATGTGGGAAGAGAGATCACCATGCCGGAAGAGATGTGGAAGAGAAGAGATCACCATGCCGGAAGAGAGATCACCATGCCGGAAGAGATGTGAAAGAGAGATCACCATGCCGGAAGAGAGATTTGAAAGAGAGATCACCATGCCGAAGAGAGGCCGGAAGATAGAGATCACCATGTGGACGAAAGATCACCATGCTGGAAGAGAGATTCACCATGCCGGAAGTTGATGTGGAAAGAAGAGAGATCACCATGCCGGAAGAGATGTGGAAGAGAGATCACCATGCCGGAAGAGAGATGTGGAAGAGAGATCACCATGCCGGAAGAGGTGTGGAAGAGAGATCACCATGCCGGAAGAGATGTGGAAGAGAGATCACCATGCTGGAAGAGATGTGGAAGAGAGATCACCATGCCGGAAGAGATGTGGAAGAGAGATCACCATGCCAGAAGAGATTGGCAGAGAGATCACCATGCCGGAAGAGATGTGGAAGAGAGATCACCATGCCGGAAGAGATGTGGAAAGAGAGATCATCATGCCAATAGAGAGGAACAAGATGTTGCCTGTCCCTATGGTGAATAGGACAGCAAGTCATGGACATAGGGGGATGAGTCAGCCATGACACTACAAACATGTGAGCCCATCAATAAAAAGTAATGCAAACAAACAGCACAGGGAAAATAACTACACTAATACCTAATGACATTAATACCTAACTAAAACAACAAAAACTTTTGAAAGAGCACAATGACCTGGAAGTGAGAGTCATCTCCTGATGAACCACCTGAAATTCTCCTCACAGGTGGCACCCTCCCGCCCAACATTCTTTGAATGAACAGCCGAAGAAGCTGAGCAGAAATCTGTTGGCTGAACAATGGCTGCAACCAGTTAGATGACTGATATTGATGATGAAGCTTGGGGCAGAGTTGTGGCTGGTTTTGTATGTTGTTAGTATCTTGAATTCTTTGGGTGGTCAGAAGCGAACCAAAATATTGGCAGTGAAGGGTAATGAACACTGAACGATCGGTGAAATGATGAGCCTAGCAGCATTCATGATAGACTGAAGGGGGACAGCCTGTGTAGAAGTTGGCAATGAGGAGGAAGTTACAATTGTCAAGGTGAGAGATAACAAGGGAGTGGCATGGCGGGGGGGGTACTTTGGAAATGTTATGAAGGTTGAAGGTGGAAAGTTCAGGTCAACGCTCAGATTGAATATCAAATAAAAAGCGTTCACCTAAAAGAAAAAAAATTGTGAAGAAGTTTTTGGTGAGCAGACCTGGTTTGGGTGCTAGGTTGCTGCCCCTCTGATCATGATAGACAAATCTCTCAGATAAATTCCTGAAGTTCAAAACTCTGACTTTGATAGTTGAGCGTGGTGGGATTTAGTCTGTATAAAAGATGCCCTCTTGGCTCTATAGCAATGGTCTTCAAACTGCAGCCTGAGGGCTAGATGTAGCCCTTTACTAGCCTTTATCTGGCCCTTGGCGCACTATTCTTCCCACTGACACCAATGATGGGGCACTATTCTTCCACTGACACCAATGATGGTGCACTGTTCCTTCCACTGACACCAAAGATGGGGCACTATTCCTCCCACTGACACCAATGATGGGGCACTATTCCTCCCACTGATACCAATGATGGTGCACTGTTCCTTCCACTGATACCAAAGATGGGACACTATTCCTCTCGCTGATACCAACAATGGGGCACTATTCCCTCCACTGACACCAATGATGGGACACTATTAATCCTACTGATTCAAATAATGGGGCACTATTCCTCCTACTGATAGCAATGATGGGGCACTATTCCTCCCACTGACACCAATGATGGGGCACTATTCCTCCTACTGATAGCAATGATCGGGCACTATTCCTCTCACTGACACCAATGATGGAGCACTATTCCTCCCACTGATGCCAATGATGGGGTCCTATTCCTCCCACTGATACCAATGATGGGGCACTATTCCTCCCACTGACACCAATGATGGGGCACTATTCCTCCCACTGATACCAATGATGGGACACTATTCTCTCCACTGACACCAATGATGGGTCATTATTCTTCCTACTGATACCAATGATGGATCACTATTCCTCCCACTGACACCAATGATGGGGCACAATTCCTCCTACTGATACCAGGGATGGGGCACTATTCCTCCTACTGGCACCAATGATGGGGCACTCTTCCTCCTACTGACACCAATGATGGGGGACTATTCCTCCACTGACACCAATGATGGGGCACTATTCCTCCTACTGACACCAATGATGGGGCACTATTCCTCCTACTGATACCAATGATGGGGCACTATTCCTCCCACTGACACCAATGATGGGGGCACTATTCCTCCCACTGACACCAATGATGGGGCACTATTCCTCCTACTACTGACCACCAACCCTGAGGCCATGTTTTATTCTCAATGATGCTGGCTCCGGGACATTTTCTACTCCCACTGGCCACAATCTGGCCTCCCTAAAGTCTGAAGGACAATAAACTGGCCCTTAATTTGAAAAGCTTGGAGACCCCACTCTACAGCCTAGAGCAGCCTTTCTTAACCATTATATCCCAGAGGAACCCCTAAAATAATTTTCAGGTCTCATGAAAACGTTACTAAAATCATTTAATCTGGGCCAATGGGGAGAAATACCCCCTGCATTGGTGGACAGATAAAGAGATCAGTGGCATTTGCCAAGTGGCCTTTGGACCCGGAACTATGCAGGTACCATCAAATAGGAGGTTAATCATTCACAGCTCAAGGAACCCCCCAGCAACCTCTGGAGGAACCCTAGAGTTCTATAGAACCCTGGTTGAGAATGGTTGGCTTAGCACAAAGATGGCGCCGTACCCATAGTAACCAATTAGATTCATTGTTTCATTTTCCATCTGAATGAAAGAAGAAAGGTTTACCTGCTGTAAGACCTCTAGGTTTGTTCCATTTGTTTTTGCTCCAGTTTCATACATAAGCCCCATTGCCTCTCATCTTCTTTAAAAATTCGCTCTGCACGCGCACGCGTCTGCTTCTCCTCCTTTACTTTGGTGCCCCCCCCCCCCTCCCAGCCTGACACCCTCATTCACCCTGATTGCAGTTTTTGTTTGTCATTTCCTGCTCTGCTGATTGTACAACCAACACAGGAAAAGCCCATGTAGGTCTATATGTTTTATTAGTCTTTTGCAGCTTTGTTGACTTTCCCTTTGATGTGTTTTTCTTGCAGAGATGTGAGGCGCAGATCTGAACAATGGCTGAACCTCCGCCCCCCCCCCTATACAAATATATATGGAGCCCCCCAATAACGGCTGAACATTTTTAGTTTGGTGTTTCTGAAGGTTGTTTTGTGTTGTTTGTTGTTGTTTTTGTGTTGTTGTCAAAATTTCTTTCCAGCTGAATAGGAAGCTCCTTTATTGTCGAATTCCTTGCATTGAAAACTGCCTGATGAGAAAACTGGGTTAATTGCAGCCTTGGCCTCCGACGGTTATCAGTTCATGGGCCCCCACCGGCCACCCCGCTAGCATAATTGGATTATGAATAATGGTCAGTGTGTACACTCATTTGTGTTTTGCATGCATGGATTTGTGAAGCACTTCTGAAGGATTTGGAATGCAAAATTAGATCGCATGCAAGAATAAACTTCCTGCAATTATTCATGTGATTGCAGATAGATGGAAACAATGCTTCCCGGGACCGAGGCAGTACATACGTGTGACAATTTCATTCCCAGAATGGACTGTAAAAAAAAAAAGTTTGCTTACCTATACATTAGAACAGTGTTTCTCAACCTTTTTTTCAGTCAAGGCACCCTCTAAAATTATGGACAGTCCCGAGGCACCCTCTAAAATTATGGACAGTCCCCAGGCACCCTCTAAAATTATGGACAGTCCCGAGGCACCCTCTAAAATTATGGACAGTCTTGAGGCACCCTTTCAAATTATGGACAGTTTTGAGGCACCCTCTAAAATTATAAGCAGTCCCTGGGCACCCTCTAAAATTCTGGACAGTCCTGGGCACCCTTTAAAATTATGGACAGCCCCGAGGCACCCTCTAAAATTATGGACAGCCCGAGGCACCCTCTAAAATTATGGACAGCCCCAAGGCACCCTCTAAAATTATGGACAGCCCCAAGGCACCCTCTAAAATTTTGGACAGTCCGAGGCACCCTCTAAAATTATGGACAGTCCCCGAGGCACCCTCTCTAAAATTATGGACAGTCCCGAGGCACCCTCTAAAATTATGGACAGTCTCGAGGCACCCTCTAGAATTATGGACAGTTACGAGGCACCCACTAAAATTATGGGCAGTCCCGAGGCGCCCTCTAAAATTATGGACAGTCCCCAGGCACCCTCTAAAATTATGGACAGTCCCCGAGGCATCCTCTAAAATTATGGACAGTCCCCAGACACCCTCTAAAATTATGGACAGTCCCGAGGCACCCTCTAAAATTATGGACAGTCTCGAGGCACCCTCTAGAATTATGGACAGTTCCGAGGCACCTTCTAAAATTATGGACAGTCCCGTGGCACCCTCTAAAATTATGGACAGTCCGTGGCACCTTCTAAAATTATGGACAGTCCCCAGGCACCCTCTAGAATTATGGACAGTTACGAGGCACCCACTAAAATTATGGGCAGTCCCGAGGCGCCCTCTAAAATTATGGACAGTCCCCAGGCACCCTCTAAAATTATGGACAGTCCCGAGGCACCCTCTAAAATTATGGACAGTCCCGAGGCACCCTCTAGAATTATGGACAGTTACGAGGCACCCACTAAAATTATGGGCAGTCCCGAGGCGCCCTCTAAAATTATGGACAGTCCCCAGGCACCCACTAAAATTATGGGCAGTCCCGAGGCGCCCTCTAAAATTATGGACAGTCCCCAGGCACCCTCTAAAATTATAGACAGTCCCGAGGCACCCTCTAAAATTATGGACAGTCTCGAGGCACCCTCTAGAATTATGGACAGTTCCGAGGCACCTTCTAAAATTATGGACAGTCCCGTGGCACCCTCTAAAATTATGGACAGTCCCGTGGCACCTTCTAAAATTATGGACAGTCCCCAGGCACCCTCTAGAATTATGGACAGTTACGAGGCACCCACTAAAATTATGGGCAGTCCCGAGGCGCCCTCTAAAATTATGGACAGTCCCCAGGCACCCTCTAAAATTATGGACAGTCTCGAGGCACCCTCTAGAATTATGGACAGTTCCGAGGCACCTTCTAAAATTATGGACAGTCCCGTGGCACCCTCTAAAATTATGGACAGTCCCGTGGCACCTTCTAAAATTATGGACAGTCCCGTGGCACCCTCTAAAATTATGGACAGTCCCCAATCACCCCATTCTAAAATGTAAAAAAACTATTCTAATAGTTCTATATAACGCAGCAACATCCACACATGGAGGACACCCAACATTAGAGGTGATTTATTCTTCCAAATCAAATACACGTTTGCACACTGGTACTGACTAGTATGCCCATGTTTCTCTCAGTTTTTATCCATCACTGAGCTAATGTGACCCCAGCACTGACATAGAGGGGCAGGGGAGGGTCCAGCAAGGATGCTGTGCAGGCAACTGACAACCTCCTTATCAACTGATGATGTCATTGGTTGTCAGGACGCTGGCGGCTAGAAGGTGGTAATGGTGCACAATAAAAACCTGTGGCTTTGTGTCACTAAAAGTCAGGCTTCTTCCACCCGCTGGCTGGTATACAAGTTTTTCTGCAACTTTTAGACATTTTGCCAAGGCGCCCCTGAAGAAACCTCAAGGCACCCCGGGGTGCCTGGACACCCTGGTTGAGAAAGGCTGCCCTAGAATGTCCAACCTCTGGGCGTGGTTTCCATACATTATTATAGTAGCCATTCCACAATGAAGGCTAGTCCCACCGCTGCTTTGATACCTTCAGGGCTCATGTACACGGGGCGTTTGGAAAACTCTTCTGACTGCTGGAAAACGTAGGTCACAAAAAAAACTTTAGCCGCGTTTGCATACTACGTTTATGCGCGTTTGCGTTTTATAAGTGTTTTTAAAAGATAACCTCAGGAGAGACCTTCTCAAATGCCCAGAATGCACTGAAAAAATAGTAAATAATTAACTATTTCAGAGATTTTGAGAGAAATAGAGAGAGCAGAAGCAGAGAGAGCAGTATGTGTGGAGATGACCCGTCTTTTCTGGTTGTAGTCACTATGGATCCCATCATGAGCAGAATGCGGTGCATTCTACCGTTTGTTCCTTCACGCGACACCTGGAACTGACTGCGCTGGTGTGCCGGGTCCATTTGAATACATGGAAAATGCTTTGCGTGCATTTCTGATGATGGAAAAAGGCTCCGGACAGCATCTGGATATGGCCCTGTCAAAAAACGCGTCTAAACGCAAATGCTTGCAAACGCGGTTAACCGCGTTTACAACGCCGGTAAAATCGACTTCTGAACGCAACTTTGGTGTAAACTCAACTGCCTGTAAACGAATGTGTGTACATGGACATGGATATACCTGATTTTGCAGTTCCGGCCATTGGCGGCCTCAGCTGTCAGTCACCAGGTCCCGGACAGTGATTCCTCGCTGGCACCCGGCGATCTCTGAGGATTTCTCGACGAGGGAGAGACCTGTATGTAAACAATACAGATCTCTTCCCTGTCAGTTCATGCACACTGCTTTGTATGCCTCTGCATTGCACAGCCATACAAAGCAGTGCGCTTAGAGTGAAGCAAACACAACCCACATTATTTATTTATTTCAGGTACTTATATAGCGCCGTCAATTTACACAGCGCTTTACATATATATTGTACATTCACATCAGTCCCCGCCCCCAAAGGGGTCGTACAATGTAAGGTCCCTGCCTCACATTCATACACATACTAAGGACAATTTAGACAGGAGCCAATTAACCTACCAGCATGTCTTTGGAGTGTGGGAGGAAACTGGAGTACCTGGAGGAAACCCACGCAGGCACAGGGAGAACATGCAAACTCCAGGCAGGTGGTGCCGTGGTTGGGATTTGAACCGACGACCTGGGTACTGCCAGGCGGAAGTGCTAACCACTTAGCCACTGTGCTGCCCATAGTAAAAACACTCCCAGCACACAGTTAACCCTTTGATCGCCCCTCATGTTAACCCCTTCCTGCTCAGTGCAGTGTCAGTGCTTTTTATTAACACTGATCACTGTATTGGTGTCACTGCTGATGTCAGTGACACCAAGTCAGTCCCCCCCCCAGTGTCAGAATGCCCCGCCGCAGTCCCGCTATAAGTCACTAATTTCCGCCATTACTAGTAAAAAAAAAATAATTCCAGTATCTTTCCCGCCATTTGTAAACGCTATAACTTTCACGTAAACCAATTAATTTACACGTATTGGGATTATTTTTTAGCATTTTGGCCTAAATTTATTATGAAATTTGATTTTTTTTTTTTTACATTTTTTTAATGGACATGTTTATTAGCAAAAAGTAAAAAAAAAGTTTATAGCGTAAAAAATTAAACAAAAAACACACAGGCGATCAAATACCACCTAAAGAAAGCTCTATTTGTGGGAAAAAAAGGGACGTAAATTGAATTTGGGTGCAGCGTTGCATGACTGCGCAATTGTCAGTTACAGCAACGCAGCGCCGGATCGCAAAAAATGGCCCGGTCAGGAAGGGGTAAATCCTCTGGAGGGGGAGGGGTTAATGTTGTGGGCTGCTCTATTGTGGATGAAGTTCCTGCGACAAATCGCGCTGCATAGAATGCGTCAAAGTAATCGCGGTGGGTGGAGCACACATAATGCACTAGGCGGGGCCTTGATGTAAATCCGCACACAACATTCATTTTACCAATCGATAATGTCTTTAGCTATTTTTTTTGTGATCTTTAAAAATCTAAAAAACAAAAAAAAAGTCCTAATCACAAGGAAGTAAACGCACAGCAATGCAAACCATGAGATCCAGAAACCACAGCAAGGCAAAAAAAGATTTAGTTCCTTCTGCTTGGAATGAACTTGTAGTTCTGGTATTTCCAGGTGTTTGTGTTCCGGCATTTCTGTTCATTTGTCTCTGATTTTCCCCAACTGACATCCCTTTATTGACAATGCTACAGAACAACCAGGACAACTGTCTTTTTTTTTTTTCTGTGAGTCACCTAGTTAGGGCTCATCTAACGCAAAAAACGCGTTGAAAACACACATGCATTTTTGCAGCTCTGTTAAATTCAGCACAATAATGTGTTTTTATGCATTTTTTTATGTGTTTTAGCTGCGTTTGCATTGCGTTTTCCCCCTGGATGTGTGACGGACAAAGCACTTCCCACAGGTACATTGTGTTTTTCAAGGTAAAATGTTACTAAACCCCGGACCCCGCATTCACTATATCCGCTCTCCCCGGACCCCGCATTCACTACATCAGGTCTCCCCGGACCCCGCATTCACTATATCCCGCTCTCCCCGGACCCCGCATTCACTATATCCGCTCTCCCCGGATCCTGCATTCACTATATCCGCTCTCCCCGGACCCCGCATTCACTATATCCGTTCTCCCCGGACCCTGCATTCACTATATCCGCTCTCCCCGGACCCCGCATTCACTATATCCGTTCTCCCCGGACCCTGCATTCACTATATCCGTTCTCCCCGGACCCTGCATTCACTATATCCGTTCTCCCCGGACCCCGCATTCACTATATCCGCTCTCCCCGGACCCCGCATTCACTACATCAGGTCTCCCCGGACCCCGCATTCACTACATCAGGTCTCCCCGGACCCCGCATTCACTATATCCGCTCTCCCCGGACCCCGCATTCACTATATCCGCTCTCCCGGACCCCGCATTCACTATATCCGCTCGCCCCGGACCCCGCATTCACTATATCCGCTCTCCCCGGACCCCGCATTCACTATATCCGCTCTCCCCGGACCCCGCATTCACTATATCCGCTCTCCCCGGACCCCGCATTCACTATATCCGCTCTCCCCGGACCCCGCATTCACTATATCCGCTCTCCCCGGACCCCGCATTCACTATATCCGCTCGCCCCGGACCCCGCATTCACTATATCCGCTCTCCCCGGACCCCGCATTCACTATATCCGCTCTCCCCGGACCCCGCATTCACTATATCCGCTCTCCCCGGACCCCGCATTCACTATATCCGCTCTCCCCGGACCCCGCATTCACTATATCCGCTCTCCCCGGACCCTGCATTCACTACATCAGGTCTCCCCGGACCCCGCATTCACTACATCAGGTCTCCCCGGACCCCGCATTCACTATATCCGCTCTCCCCGGACCCCGCATTCACTATATCCGCTCTCCCCGGACCCCGCATTCACTATATCCGCTCTCCCCGGACCCCGCATTCACTATATCCGCTCTCCCCGGACCCCGCATTCACTATATCTGCTCTCCCTGGACCCCGCATTCACTATATCCGCTCTCCCCGGACCCCGCATTCACTATATCCATTCTCCCCGGACCCTGCATTCACTATATCCCCTCTCCCCGGACCCCGCATTCACTATATCCGCTCTCCCCGGACCCCGCATTCACTATATATCCGCTCTCCCCGGACCCCGCATTCACTATATCCGCTCTCCCCGGACCTTGCATTCACTATATCCGCTCTCCCCGGACCCCGCATTCACTATATCCGCTCTCCCCGGACCCTGCATTCACTATATCCGCTCTCCCCGGACCCCGCACACCTCAAATTCCTCATGAAGACTCCCTGCCAGGTAACCTTAATGACTCAACTCACACCTATCTCCACACATACTGCTGTCTCTGCTTCTACTCTCTGTATTTCTCTGAAACAATCTGAAATAGTTAATAATTTACCACTTTTCAGTGCATTCTGGGCATTTGGGAGGGTCTCCTGTGCTTATCTTTAAAAATGGCTCTAAACGCAAACACAGCTAAACAGACATTTTTTTAACCTATGTTTTCCAGCAGTCAGTTTCCATCGTTCAGAAACGTCCATGGGGCCTAATACTACTTAGATCCTGCAATGCTGGAACAGAGGCAAGGAAGGTGATGAGGGCTGCCAGATAGGTATATATGCTAGGTTTTTTTTTTTGGGGGGGGGGGTTTAGGTCTCTTTGAAGTTAGAGAATACATTGGTGTCACCTGACTCATTGCAAACAATACATTCCCTGTGTGGCTGATATCGTAATACAATCATCAGTCCCTCCCTTCATGCCAGGGCACTAGGTGTAATCCTAGACTCCCATCTGTCCTTTCACCCCCCAAATCCAATCACTGTCCAAATCTTGTAGACTTCACCTCCGCAACATCTCCAACCTCCGCAACATCTCCAACCTCCACAACATCTCCAACCTCCGCAACATCTCCAACCTCCGCAACATCTCCAACCTCTGCAACATCTCCAACCTCTGCAACATCTCCAACCTCCGCAACACCTTCAACCTCCGCAACATCTCTACCTCCGCAACATCTCCAACCTCCGCAACGTCTCCAACCTCCGCAACATCTCCAACCTCCACAACATCTCCAACCTCCGCAACATCTCCAACCTCCGCAACATCTCCAACCTCTGCAACATCTCCAACCTCTGCAACATCTCCAACCTCCGCAACACCTTCAACCTCCGCAACATCTCTACCTCCGCAACATCTCCAACCTCCGCAACATCTCCAACCTCCGCAACATCTCCAACCTCCGCAACATCTCCAACCTCCGCAACATCTCCAACCTCCGCAACATCTCCAACCTCTGCAACATCTCCAACCTCCGCAACACCTTCAACCTCCGCAACATCTCTACCTCCGCAACATCTCCAACCTCCGCAACATCTCCAACCTCCGCAACATCTCCAACCTCCGCAACATCTCTGACCTCCGCAACATCTCAAACCTCCAACATCTCCAACCTCCGCAACATCTCCACCTCCGCAACATCTCCACCTCCGCAACATCTCCAACCTCCACAACATCTCCAACCTCCGCAACACCTCCAACCTCCGCAACACCTCCAACCTCCGCAGCATCTCCAACCTCCGCATCATCTCCAACCTCCGCAACATCTCCAACCTCCGCAACACCTCCAACCTCTGCAGCATCTCCAACCTCCGCAACATCTCCAACCTCCGCAACATCTCCAACCTCCACAACATCTCCAACCTCCGCAACATCTCCAACCTCCACAACATCTCCAAGATACGCCCCTTCCTAACCCCGGAAACCACTAAGCAACTTATTCACTCCCTGGTTATATCTCGCCTTGACTATTGTAACTCCCTCCTCATTGGCCGACCTCATCACAGGCTATCCCCTCTTCAGTCTATCATGAATGCTGCTGCCAGACTCATCCACCTTACTAACCGTTCCGTATCTGCCCCCCTCTCTGCCAATCCCTCCACTGGCCTCCACTCAGTGTCCTCCATCCCTCTCTGCCAATCCCTCCACTGTCCTCCACTCAGTGTCCTCCATCCCTCTCTGCCAATCCCTCCACTGGCCTCCACTCAGTGTCCTCCATCCCTCTCTGCCGATCCCTCCACTGACCTCCACTCAGCGTCCTCCATCCCTCTCTGCCGTTCCCTCCACTGGCCTCCACTCAGCGTCCTCCATCCCTCTCTGCCGATCCCTCCACTGGCCTCCACTCAGCGTCCTCCATCCCTCTCTGCCAATCCCTCCACTGGCCTCCACTCAGTGCCCTCCACCCCTCTCTGCCAATCCCTCCATTGGCCTCCACTCAGCGTCCTCCATCCCTCTCTGCCAATCCCTCCACTGGCTTCCCATTGCCCAACAAATAAAATTCTAAACATTAACTATAACATATAAAGACAATTATAACTCCGCCCCAAATTACATCACCGATCTTGTCTCTAAATATTACCTAAACCGTCCTCTCTGCTCCTCCCACGACCTCCTGCTCTCTAGCTCCCTTGTCTCCTCCTCCCATGCTTGTCTCCAGGACTTCTCCAGAGCTTCCCCTATCCTCTGGAACTCTCTACCCCAATCTATCAGACTATCACCTACTCTGCTCACTTTTAGGCGATCTCTGAAAACCTCTCTCTTCAGGGAAGCCTATCCTGCCCTCAGCTATTAACCGATCTTGTCTCTAAATATCACCCAAACCGTACTCTCCGCTCCTCACAAGCTCCCTTGTCTCCTCCTCCTATGCTTGTCTCCAGGACTTCTCCAGAGCTTCCCTCATCCTCTGAAACTCTCTACCCCAATTTATCAGACTATCGCCTACTCTGCTCACTTTTAGGCGATCTCTGAAAACCTCTCTCTTCAGGGAAGCCTATCCTGCCCTCAGCTAATAATGGAATCTTCTATTCCTCCTACCAGTCCGTCCCCCACAGTTACTACCTTTTGTACCACTAGCCCCTCCCTCCTAGATTGTAAGCTCCCAGGATCAGGGCCCTCCTATCCCTCTTGTATTGAACTGTATTGTTGCTGTATTGTCTCCCTTTATATTGTAAAGCGCTGAGCAAACTGCTGGCGCCATAAATCCTGTATAATAATAATATAAATCCTGTATAATAATACTTGTTTACAGAGAGTAATTGTAATGAGCAAATGAGAGCTCCCTCTAGTGGCTAGTCTGAAAATGATATTTTACACGATAGCAGAAATATGAAAGAGCCAGCTGGGAAAATGTGACGTCTTATCAAAATTTGTTTTCAAGTAAGCACAACATTACAGTGAAATATGCTGATGACCGACAATATTCAAAGTTTCGATCGTTCTAGGATTCTTCTATGACAAAGCCTAGAATACCCAATAAAAATCGTGCCAGCAGGAACATACTATACATGGGCGAGTGGACAAAATAAAAGCACATGTTCTATACACGACATACCAACCTCTTCCCCGGAAATGTGATTGGAAAGACCGAGGTATGCGCCAGGGGTGGACTGACCATTTGGAAACTCGGGCACTGCCCGAGGGCCCGGGGTCAGTAGGGGGCCCCATGAGATGCCCCTGGTACCTTTTTTCATAGGCTTTTTTGAGTTTGGGAAGGACACAGGGGCCCCATGATCCCCTATTGCCCAGGGGCCCCATGAGTTGTCAGTCCACTCCTGGTACGCACTATTTCATTGATTCTTCCATTAAAATTTTGTGAAAACATTTTGACGAATGTTAATTCTGAGTTCACTGGGAAAAGAGGCGCCCAGGTCTGTCAAGGGCGTGATATCTTTCTTAGAAATGATTCAAGCCAAGTGGAGGAGGAGGGTGGTGGAAGGTCGTAGTACCAATCTGTGTCAGTCCAGAGCTGTTCAGACCAGAAATGTGGAGGAGAGGAGAGGAAACTGGTTGGCAGTAGAAGAAAAAACAAAATCTGGGAATTATCACATGAATCCTGCTCCCCCCTCCCCCCTGACATCTCTGCGTAGAAGCAGAGGGATAATGCGAGACAGGATTATATATAGAGGAAGAGAAAAATTGGAAGATGTGTAGATGGATGGAGACTGGAAGATAGGACTATGTGTAGATGGAAGGAGACTGGAAGATAGGACCATGTGTAGATGGAGGGAGACTGGAAGATCGACCATGTGTAGATGGAAGGAGACTGGAAGAAAGGACTATGTGTAGATGGAAGGAGACTGGAAGATATAGGACCATGTGCAGATGGAAGGAGACTGGAAGATAGGACTATGTGTAGATGGAAGGAGACTGGAAGATAGGACTATGTGTAGATGGAAGGAGACTGGAAGAAAGGACTATGTGTAGATGGAGGGAGACTGGAAGATCGGACCATGTGCAGATGGAAGGAGACTGGAAGAAAGGACTATGTGTAGATGGAGGGAGACTGGAAGAAAGGACTATGTGTAGATGGAAGGAGACTGGAAGATAGGACTATGTGTAGATGGAAGGAGACTGGAAGATAGGACTATGTGTAGATGGAAGGAGACTGGAAGATAGGACTATGTGTAGATGGAAGGAGACTGGAAGATAGGACTATGTGTAGATGGAAGGAGACTGGAAGATAGGACTATGTGTAGATGGAAGGAGACTGGAAGAAAGGACTATGTGTAGATGGAAGGAGACTGGAAGATAGGACTATGTGTAGATGGAGGGAGACTGGAAGATAGGACTATGTGTGGATGGAAGGAGACTGGAAGATAGGACTATGTGTAGATGGAGGAGACTGGAAGATAGGACTATGTGTAGATGGAGGAGACTGAAAGATAGGACTATGTGTAGATGGAGGAGACTGGAAGATCGGACTATGTGTAGATGGAAGGAGACTGGAAGATAGGACTATGTGTAGATGGAAGGCGACTGGAAGATAGGACTATGTGTAGATGGAGGGAGACTGGAAGATAGGACTATGTGTAGATGAAGAGCAAGACTGGAAGATAAGACTAAGTGTAGATGGAGGGAGACTGGAAGATAGGACTATGTGTAGATGAAGAGCAAGACTGGAAGATAGGACTATGTGTAGATGGATGGAGACTGGAAGATAGGACTATGTGTAGATGGAAGGAGACTGGAAGATAAGACTAAGTGTAGATGGAGGGAGACTGGAAGATAGGACTATGTGTAGATGGAAGGAGACTGGAAGAAAGGACTATGTGTAGATGGAGGAGAGACTGGAAGATAGGACTATGTGTAGATGGAAGGAGACTGGAAGATAGGACTATGTGTAGATGGAGGGAGACTGGAAGATAGGACTATGTGTAGATGGAAGGAGACTGGAAGAAAGGACTATGTGTAGATGGAGGAGACTGGAAGATAGGACTATGTGTAGATGGAAGGAGACTGGAAGATAGGACTATGTGTAGATGGAGGAGACTGGAAGATAGGACTATGTGTAGATGGAGGAGACTGGAAGATAGGACTATGTGTAGATGGAAGGAGACTGGAAGATAGGACTATGTGTAGATGGAGGAGACTGGAAGATAGGACTATGTGTAGATGGAGGGAGACTGGAAGATAGGACTATGTGTAGATGGAGGAGACTGGAAGATAGGACTATGTGTAGATGGAGGAGACTGAAAGATAGGACTATGTGTAGATGGAGGAGACTGGAAGATCGGACTATGTGTAGATGGAAGGAGACTGGAAGATAGGACTATGTGTAGATGGAGGGAGACTGGAAGATAGGACTATGTGTAGATGGAGGGAGACTGGAAGATAGGACTATGTGTAGATGGAGGGAGACTGGAAGATAGGACTATGTGTAGATGGAAGGAGACTGGAAGATAGGACTATGTGTAGATGGAGGGAGACTGGAAGATAGGACTATGTGTAGATGGAGGGAGACTGGAAGATAGGACTATGTGTAGATGGAAGGAGACAGGAAGATAGGACTATGTGTAGATGGAGGGAGACTGGAAGATAGGACTATGTGTAGATGGAGGGAGACTGGAAGATAGGACTATGTGTAGATGGAAGGAGACTGGAAGATAGGACTATGTGTAGATGGAGAGAGACTGGAAGATAGGACTATGTGTAGATGGAGGGAGACTGGAAGATAGGACTATGTGTAGATGGAAGGAGACTGGAAGATAGGACTATGTGTAGATGGAGAGAGACTGTAAGATAGGACTTCCTTCCATCTACACATAGTCCTATCTTCCAGTCTGGAAGATAGGACACATAGTGTAGGGAGACTTTCCAGTCTTGCTCTTCATCTACATGGAGGGGATGGAGGTGCAAGGAAGATAGGCTCTACAGGGATGGAGGTGCAAGGAGGGGGGACTGTAAAAAAAACGCCAGGACTTTGTTGGCAGAAAAAAAAAAGACTGGTGTTAGAGGGATTTAGATGGACACAGTTTAGGCGAGGGAGACTGGAGCATTTTTTGTGTAGAAAGGAGGGAGATGGAAGATAGGACTTCCTTCTATCTACACATAGTCCTATATTTTCCTGCCTCTAAACATAGAAGGTTTGCCTCTGATCATCGTAATGTGTATGGACACCAAGGAGAACACTGAGCTGCTTCTGTGGGCAAAACACAAAACTCCTGTAGAAGCTGCAATTTTGAAGCCAGTGTGCATGGAGCCTTATCTCAGTTTGCAGAACACACAGGCAGGAAGACTGCTGGCTCCAGGTGGGGGGTGTGTGAGGGGGTCAGGGAACGTGTTGAGAGCCAGGGAGGGTCCCTGCTGTACAGGGAGGGGGGAGCCCACGCTCAGCGTGCCATGTCCAGATAAGAAGAAAAACACAGATTTAAGCTGAATTCCCGGCAGATATTAAATGATGTGTTTACCCAAATTGTGTATTCACAGAAAAAAAAATTAAA